CGATTAAGATTGTGATAAGGAGAAATGTAAAAAAAACAAAAAAAAATCGGAAGCAATCAGGGTTAAACTTTATAAGAAATTGAAGAAAAAATTATTCAATTTTTATAGCAAGCGAATAGAATGAATGGCATTAGTTTGTTTGAGAGCAAAGCCACATTAGGCTATCAGCTGTGTCCATCGCGAGGAACTGAACTCCGAATTTTAGCGTTGTAAGTGCGTAAACTTATCGCTGTCCCACCTAGGGACATATTCTATGTTCACCACGGGTATCAAAACCCAACTTTTAACGTTATTAGCCTTCAAACTTACCGCTGAGCCACTGAGGTGAAATGACATTCAAATCACACACTAGAGGACAAATGAATAACACGAAAAAAAAAGAAAACTAAAATAACATGTGACATCCATAGAAAGTGTACTGAAAAGTCGAAATGGCGCGAATTTTAGTACCAAAAACTTTGAGATTTCACACACAAAAAAAACATAGTCCACTTAGTGTACACCCCAAGTACCAGGCTTTTATAGTCGATAAAATTGAGTTGCCATAAAAGAGAACTTGTATACTGCATAGATTTAAAACTTTGATTTTTTTTTTCTTGGAGAATGTCAAACAACTGTAACGGCCAATCTTTGACCTTTTCTCAAAGAGTATCCAGAAGAGCGTTGTATATTGGCCATGACTTATTGACTAAATGTAGTAGTAGCCACCAAAAGAATGTAATAGACCTAAGACTAAGAGAAGAAATTATAACATTGGTTTTTGATGGAGCTTATAGCCCTCACCCCGTGCACAGCGGCAAGTCTACGGACTTATAACGCTAGAAACCAGGTTGCGATACCCGTGGTTGGCATAATATAGATAGCCCATTATGTAGCTTTGAGCTTAACTACAAACAAACAAATACAGCTTACGAAATCTTAGCTTTTTATGCATGCTTAGCTCAAAATTGTATGAACTGAACCCTGATGGATAAGAATGATATATTGCCTAAAACAAGATAATGGTGCTATTATATAGACATCTGAGACAATAATTTCTTTTAAATTCTTACATGGCAGAGAAGAGTGCCAATGAATAAAAAAGATAAAATGACTTTCTTTAGGGATATGTTTGTACTCTAGTACCAGGCAGAAAATGTGGAGTTATGTGATCTTGAAACAAATAAAACGATTTTTTTGTTTTACTTTTTGACGATCTTAAGCTCGTTTTCTGTAAGTTAAATCCCGTTTTTGTTTCTAATAACTTAGTTGTTTTACTGTCACATTATCAAGAAGATAAAGGATTTCATTTCGACCGAGTATCACGAGTTAAAAGAATTTGTATCAGTTAAAACGAAGCTTAACAACTGTAATAACAAGTAATACCTTTTAGAAGAAATGAGTATGTTTCAAAAGCAAATTACACCACTGGTTTATTTATAGAAATATAATAATTAGAAATGACTTCCAAAGTAGCAATAGATATAAGATAAAACGTAACGTCATACACTTATTACACCTTCAGTGCTAATCTTACACAGCCCATTGTATTCATAATTACAGGCCAGGTCTAGACACTTGATTCTGTTATTCCAAACGAAATTTTAATCTTTGGCCCAGTTTATTGATAGCAGCTAAAAACGAGAAACGATATCAGCTTTTCTCTGTCAATTTGCGCCTAGTTTATGATTAAGCGTGCGTATATGTTGATGGAGAAAAGCTGAGCACGAGAGACATTGAGAGAAACTTTAAATATAAGATTTTTTTGTTTGTATTCGGATATTTGCACAAATAAGAGCTAGCCGCGCTAGCAGTTTGTAATTTTGAACTAATAAACTACCAGCTCTTGGGCTACCTTTGTCTGACCAAATATTAGGTTTGACTGTCATCCTTATAACGTGCTCATATCTCCAAAGTGCGAAGCGCAGTTTTAATTTTTTGCGGTAACGGGACACAAACGATGGACCCAAGATCCATATTTCAGCGCGCTTGGCTCATACAAATAAGAACATTACTACGATCTGTTATTGTTATACTTATAAGGCCATAGTTATTATATGTCTTGGAATGAGAGGACGCAATATGGAAGAACTCAATCACCGCATTATCGGAGCCCCAGAGGTACATTTTGAGTTACAGAAGAATTTATTAACTGTAGAGTATTCTTTAATAAAGGTCTGTTCCCCGGTGGGTCAGTGCTACGTTTACGGACTTACAATGCTAAAATCCGTGGTTCGATCCCCAGCAGTGGTCACAGTGTTGGCAGCCAAATATGTGGCTCTGCGATAAAAGCAAGCAACAATATCCATATTGGTTCTTTAGAAACTACTAGAAATGTTTGCCGCAGGTGGCTCAGCTGTATGTCTGAAAGCTTATAAAGTTAATAATCTGGGTTCGATACCTGCGGCGAGCAGAGCAGAGATAGCCCATTGTGTAGCTTTGTGCTTGACAACATATAAACAAATATTAACGGGCAGATAAATGCTGCACCAAAGTTATTACTGTCAGCAACTCTTCAGTATTGGACTCGGTTAGAAAGGCTTGAAAAAGCATATATATATGCACTATTTCTTCGTAAGACGTATCTCAGCTAGACTCGTGTGTTACACACAAAATATCCACAGGATCCCTTATCTGAGAATCCAGAGTTCTTTAATAAAATCATACATTCAAAAACATCTGTAAACCAAATGATGTATAGGTGACAGTGATAAAATGAAACTGAAGTTATTTCGCAATAGTTTCAATCGGGAAATATAAGGGGAAACAATTTTTTAATTCATATAAATATATTTTATAAATGCTTCTTATAAATATGATTAATTTAAAATGCAAGGTATCTCAACTGAAACATAATGTACAGTATAATAATAGTTTATTCTAAACTGGCACGTATTATCGGTGTTAAATCGTATTCAATAGCATAGTATAACTTAGCATGTAAAGTACAACAATGGTACATGTCATGAAATTATCTACGTCAAATCATTCAATATCTCTAATTATTAAAAATAATAATCCTCGTCAAAGCAGGAATTAAATAATGGTTGGTTTATTCAGAAAGGTTGACAGTAAAATAGCCATGAAAAATACCTTTTGTTGTTAACCCATTAACTGCGACAGGAGCAGCTCAGTTGCTGTTTTCTGATCGTGGTGGTAACTTTAGTTTTTAGGGCAATTAGTAAACCATTTTTGTTTATCTTTTTTTTCCTTTAATTTTTCTTACTTGGATAAGATTTTAAATAGCGTAAATAAAAAAACATAACCTTGATACTTTACTTATAATAATATAATTCCTTTAAAGAAAATGGTTTAGAGGGAAGTAATATATATATATATATTTAGAAAAATCGACTTTTGTATGGTATATTTTAAAGCATGTTACTATGATTAATCCAACATCGCAGTCTTTACACATATGTGATGTGTCCTTTCGTTTTCCTATAGCTGCACAAACACGGCATCGAAACGAAGATCTTCCAGGTTTTCCTTCTTTTTGAGGAGCAAAGTTTGGAGAGTGACACGCTGTGAGGCGATTAGGAGATGATGATGGGGCATATTATCCTGCTTTGGAGGTGCATGCCCCACATTTCTCAATAAGCCGCTTTATGAGTTATATTTTGAACTTTAGCAATGTATTCTTTCCACCAAGCTTCTTATGAATTATAAAGGAATTCAATACAACGATATCAAGGAATCTAAGATAGATTTTTTTTGTAGTACTTCTCTAGATGACTTCTAGCTGCATCATAGGATGAAATCACTTGATCCATGTGATCCACGCCTCCCATCACCTTCTTGTAATCGATACACATAAGAGGCTTGCTCTTTTCCGAGTTATCTTCGTTTACAGTCTTTCTTTCAGCATCATGGGTAGTGCTTATCATCATCACCTCTCTCTTGTCTCTCCATTGCATGACCATAAGTTTACCTTTATACATGGTAATATCTTGTCCCTTTTTTAGCTTCGCTTTTGAAACTTCCTTTGGAATTTCTTTTAGATTTTTTCGCAAAGTTCCAATTGCATCTGTCATGTGGGAAACTAAAAAATCGAAAAGAGGTGGCAAAGAGTAATAGTTATCCATTGCAAGATAAAAGCCCTTATCCAAAAGGTATGTCGTTAGATGCAGGACGACCTTCGTTGAATGATTTAGGTATTCAGGTGCAATTTCAGTAGCACAAGGAGGCATTTGAAGATCTGTTCTCTTTCCAGTGTAAACTTCGAAGTTATACACGTATCCTGTGCTTGATTCGCAAAGAAAGTAGTCCTTAATTCCAAATCGAGCACGCTTTAGCGGGATGTATATCTTCCATCCTAATCTACCCTTCCATAGAAGTAAGCTCTCATCTATGCATATATTCTTTTCAGGGAAATATGCACTCTGAAAAGACTCCTTGTATAAGTTTAGAAGATCTCTAATCTTATATAATTTATCTGAAGAGTCTTTAGAAGCAGAGAAGTGCAAGTGTTGCAGGAGAACCAGAAATCTTTCTCTCGGCATTGTTTCTAAAAAAAAAAGGTGTTGCCAACACAAGATCCTTTGAAAAATACATTAGAAAATCAGGCTTTTTGAATATTCCCATCAATAACAGTATTGCATCGAGTACACGCATTTCGCCGACGTTTGTCTTTCCAATTTTGTAGTCTAGTTTTCTTCAATAATCCCGAGATGAATTTCTGTTTGCAAATTTCATTAGCTTACGCACTAGTTTCCGAAACGATTTTTGATATTATTTCAGTAATTTGAATAGATTCAAAAATCTCCAAAACATTATCAGGATTGGTTGCCTTTATTTTGACACCCGAATCTCCACTAAAAGTAAACAAGTTTCTTTTGCTTCCGATGAGTGACTACTCTACTTGCGAAGTACGTGGTACATTTGTTTGTTCATTATCGTATAAATCATCAATTGTGACTTCATTAGTAAATTCTTCTTCACTATCAGAGGATAAATCTAAGCTTGATTCGTCGCTTTCACAAAGGTATTGGCAAAGCTCTTCATCAACAATAACCCGCTTTGCCATTTCAAGGGAGAAGAAAAAATTTGAAATGTCCCTCTCCTACTAAATAGCTTTTGAGCACTGATTGCTTGGAGGTAGGAGTGCCGATCTGATACCCTGACTCACAGATAAAACTGAGTTGCCATCAATCACAATAAAAAGGAAATTTTCGTCATTCGCATAGAGTTATAGTTGTATATGGCCAAGTTTTCTTGATTAGTGATTGTAACTCTCATCTATGGTGATGTCCGTAACACGGCTTTTGTAAGTTGCCGGTCGGTGACAATTTTTTTTTTGGGGGGGGGCAGTCGGTGATTGCTTGTTTGGGAAACTTTTTTTGTGGATTGTCGGTCGGTGACATATTTTTTGTAGGTTGCCGGTCCGTGGGGTTGATGGCCTGTGAAACTCTTTTTGTGAATTGTTGGTCGTTGACACTTTTTCGGGGGTTGTCAGTCGGTGATGTCGTTGAAGTGTCTCCTATGAGCTTGCCTTTTTTAGAATGTTGACGAGATATCTTTTGTGACTGATCGAGAGTAGTGCCCCCCCCCCCAGTGGCACAGCGGTATGTCTGCGGAGTTACATCGCTAGAAACCACGTTTCGATACTCGTGGTGGGCAGAGCACAGATAGCCCATTGTGTAGCTTTGTGCTTAACTTCAAACAAACAAACAATCGAGAGTAGTGAAATTCCTAGGTGATTAAACATTTCATAAGTTCTCTTATTCAAACAATACTTTCTTAATATGTGTAAATGTTGATTCATTAAAATCAACGGGCGAACAACGTCACCCTACAAAAACAACAACAAAAAATCAAGTTATTTACAATTGCAGAAACACTATAACGAAAGTCAATACAGTGAAATTATTAACCACCGGAAAACAGAATTACTTTTCTTTATAAAAACAATTATAAAACTGTTCCGTGGTTGTTTATTACATGACATTTTATCTCCTATTTTCTTTTTTTTGTGCTTTTGCATCTATAGACAGAACATATAGTTTGACGTAGATCCAGACGTGTCCAAGAAGTTAGCGTGCCGGGCTGCGGATCGAAAGTCCAATACTCAAGCTGTGACACTGCTGAACAAACTCTTCTCTTTCAACTTTACAGAATAAAACTTATTTAGCTTTAAATAACTTCACTCATTGTAACAGGTGCTTTGATAATAAATTTCTTAACAATATATATTTTGGAATAAAAACTAAATATTACTATTTATTTCAAATTTATACAAGCTATACCTTAATATTTTCGTTGTTTCGTGTTTCATCATATATATTGTAAATCCGTTTAAAAACAATAATGTGTGGTAATACTTTCGTTCTGTTCATCGTGGGAATCGAACCCAGAGTTTTAGCGTTGACCCATCGGGGGGTCGTAGAGAGTTTATTTCACGCTAACAAATAAATAAACAAATTCAATGTTTTAATATTTTGTCCAAAGTTTCAGCTTCAAGCCTTTCGGTAGTTATGCTTTGATTTAATACGGTTCAGACTCAAATTAGCGTTCATAATTTAAAAAATAATCTTGGCTAGAAAAAGAAAGCCATGCTCTTGTAGCTTCTCCAGCACGATGTGGGTAAAAGTACAAGTCAGCTCTGGTGCATTCTACGTCATATTAAGTAGACAATAACTAGTCCGAATAAGGGATGTGGATATTGAATCTTCGCGTTTGTTTATCGCTTTACAAACTGAATAGCTTTCTATGCACGGGTTTACGGCCAATCGACCACTGGCTTGTGTCCGACTATTTTCCCACATTTGTATACTTTAGTTGGAAAAGTGACCAGAAAATGATACATGCTAAATCGCCTGAACATATTTAGTCGTTAAATTTGGCGTGAATATCTGACATTACTGCGTACTCGAGGCGTGAAGAGGGGCACTCAATCTTGCGTTCACTGTCAATGACACTGTTTGTGAATGAGACGCCCTTAGAGGCTTCTGGTTTCCTGACCGTATACAGAGCGGCTGATGGAGCACCATTCTCTGTCGTTGTGGGAGCTTTCGTCGGCTTGGAAATCCTATTTTTCGCTCCAGTGAATTTCAAGTTGGTCGCTCCAGCAACGGATATCAATTCTAGTAAGTTCAAGTTGTGGTCACGTGACGCATGCTTGTGGCTGCGCGTGACCTACTTGTGGCGTGAAATAGATACTTTATCATGTTTTTATATGACTTTGTGCCAATTTACGAGATTTATAACAAAGCAGAGATTGCAGGAAAGTCGGAATTGTGGCACACTCATCTTTTAAATCCTGGGAAGAAATTGAGAGCTAATAAAATAAAACTATTTTCACGTATTGAACAGATCGGTAAGTAAGGGTGTAATTTGATAATGATTTGATTTTAAAACAAGAATTATCGTGTTTCATGCTTTTCGGTTTTCACTTGCTAATCTCTTCATTGGAAAAGTAACAAAGATGTGGTAGTTAATACTTTTAAATGAATTTAAGTAAAACTTGTTTTCGGGGAATAAAATTCGATAGTTATATGCCTGCCAACGTTTATTTATAGCATAATTCTAGCTTTATCTCTTTCGCGATACAATTTGTTATATATATTTTTTTTTATTTTTACAATGTTTTCCTTCTTATTCGCGAGATAAATTTTATGATAATTCAAAAGTCTCTAATATCTGCAAACAAACCTAGGGTATGAAATTATTTACAAATTAACCAATACTATACAAATAGTTGGTTGTTTGGTTGATTATTTTATAGCAAAGCTACATTGGGCTATCTGTTGAGTCATACACGGGGAACTAAACCCCGGATTTTAGCGTAATAAGTCCGTAAACGTACCGCTGTCCCACCGAAGGACCTGTAAAAATATCTTTACCAAATTTTCAAACCTTTACTTAGAAACGTATTTTTCCTCTTTTTTTTTTAACAAAAGTCCATTTCACACCGACCTTTTTTTTTCTTCTTTTTACCGTGACAAAATTGTATTCATTCGCGGAGTCTATTTCACCCTGATTTTTTCCTCTTTTTTTTTTACCGTGACAAAATTTTATTTATTCACGGCTAACCAGAATTTCTATCTTCTTAACATGCTAAAAAAAAAAAAAAGAGTCGCGTTGAGATTTTCTCATCTGATGATAAACGCTGTCAGAAACAACTTTCCCACGCGCAACCAGGACCGATGTCCTAGCTACTTTCGTTACGTCATGTGATGTTGTAGAGTGTCAGTTACAGTAAGTTCGGGTTGTCGATGTAAGAGTAAGTTAGTCAAAAAAATATATGTTTTACCAACAAAAGAAAAAATTAAACTCTGCAAGATGCTGAAAATTTTCTTGTTAATCTCAGAGTTTAACATAATTAACTGAGCCAATACATTTTCTAGTAACTAAACACAGCGTGGTTCGTTTGATCAGTTGACAGTTATTTGCTCACGTTAACCTTTTATGTTACAAGCTATCAAATACACATGATCTTTTTTTTCTGCTTATCATATGCACATTTTCAGTTGGCTATCCAAACTCGCAATTATTTGGCCTACTTTTGATGCGACGGTAACACTGGGATTAAATACGTTTATTATCCTCCTCCCAACTTACAATAACAACAAAACAGCAACACTTAGCTGTCCATGATTAACGGCACCTTAATGATTTCCAGGTCAAAGATTTGAGACTAATAAATAAATCAGATAGCAGGTTGAGAAAGAATGTGATTTAGATTAATGTAGGGTCTTTCTTTAACACTGCTTCTTGGACACGTTTGTATAACTACTAGTGATTAGCAAGTAAAGTGTCAAAGAAAAATGAGGAGAAAGTGAAAGATGTGATAACTATTAGCAAAAGCAAACAGCGAAAAGAATTTTTGACCTTTTGCTAAGAAACAGCGATACAAGCACTTATTTCAGAGATATGAAAAAACGTCTATTTTGAGAAACACTCTTATTCTGATATTCAACAAATTATTGTACTCCGAATTCACATTGTTAACATGCGTGTTCCATATGTTGTGGTATTAAAGAACGTGCCAATACCCCCACCTCCTGGGATTCGACTCCTCCCTCTAGGAGGTCGTGAAAAACAAGTGCTCTTACAATCTGGATAGAAACCTCAACAGCTCAGCCGCCGCATTCGTCATTTCTCACAAAGAAAGTTCCCCACTCGAGCCAAAGAAACTGAAAGATGTGGGTGGTCAGGTTGGGTGTAAACATTACTGTGGCAACTCAAGAGAAGACACCACTAGTAGCGGTTCTTGCCACTACTTATATCGCATTCTACAGAGAGCTCTCACTAACCGAGGCATGGGGGTTAATGTGCTAGTTGTTGCTAATAAGGCAATTTTTTTAACACACCGAATACAGTTTTGTGTTAAGTTGATTAAATCACCGAATGCTTGAAGTACATCTATCGAAAAAAAAAAACATGCTGTACTATAAAATTCAGTAATATCACTGCAAGTAAACGAGATGATAAAACAGAGCTTACAATAAACAAAAATAAATTAAAAAGGGTCAGATTGACACTGCATCTACAACCTTATCTA